GTGAGAGAGCTGCAGCGGGGGAGGGGGCAGTGAGAGCAGCAGCAGGGAGGGGTTGCATGAGAGCTGCAGCAGGGAGCGGGCAGTGAGAGGAGCAGTTGGGGCAGCAGCACAGTGTGATGACGCTTAGGTAGAGCCTGGCCTTTCCATACCAGGGAGGAGCTGGCGCGGAGCTCCATGTGGGGCACTGTGATGTGTCAGGGTGACCAAGAGGTGCAGGGCCGGGCCGCGCAGGGTGTGGGACTGCTGTTAGGGCTGTGGCTCTGACACTGAGTGAGCAGGGCAGAGCCGGTGTGGGTCAGAAAGGCTCCTGGGTGGCTGTTGGGCTGGGCCCCTAGGGCCAGGGTGGAACGGGTAAGGATGCATGGGAGGTAAGGGTGCAGTCAGATGGTGAGAGGGCTGGAGTCTGGGTATGTTTGGAAAGTTTGGGGGCGGGATATGCTGACAGATTGGATTGGAAAAGGCAAGGGGCACAGACGCCACCAAGGGTTTTGGTCTGAGCGAGTTGTCACTCCGTGTGGTGGAGAAACGGGCGTGGGATTGGGTGGGATAAAGATGAGGCGTTGGATGTGGGGCGCAGTTTGGCTGCCAGCTAGACATCCTGGGGACGTGGCTAGTAGACATCGACAGTGGGGACATGGACTTGGGAGTCATGCACATGTGGATGGTGCTTAAAGCTGGAAGATGAGGGAGTAAGGGGCGGCGGGGCTCTGCACTCAGACGCCAGGAGCCTGGACTGGGGAGGAGGCAGACAGCAGCAGGGGCTTCCGGGAGTCAGCGAAGCCGCTGTTTCCAGACAGTTCTAGAGGACCTGTGTGTGCCACTCTGGGTCGTTCGAGATGAGGCCTGAGAACAGATGGTTCATCTCACAGTGTGGGGTCCTTGGTGACCCTGACAAGGGAGCTTGTCGGGGAGGAAAAGGAACAGACGCCTTAACAGTGGCTCTAGGAGAGGACACAGCAAACAGAAAGGAGGTACGAGAAAGCAAAACCCTGTCTGGTTCTGAATGAGACGCTGCAGCAGCAACAGTGCACTGTGGGGCCTGCCCTGTAAAGACACAGACTGTGCTTCACAGCCACACATGCAGGGATGGAAACAAACTGGTTAACTTTACAGGGCAGATGATTTTGAAAATAGCCATAACTTTTCTCCCAACTTGTCTAAAAGCTGAAAGCTAGGCATCTAAATCTGGGCATTAAAAAATAGATCAAGGAGAGGCAGTGGCCAAATGCAATGTGGGGCCTGGTTTGGGTCCTGAAACGGGAAAAGGACGTCAAGAGGAAACGGGAGATTCGAACAATGCTGTGCTTTAATGAATAGTATTGAACCAGTGTGAACTTAGTTGTGCTGAGCCAGAATGTGGGTGTGTGAGGTGTTAACCTCGGGAGGCTGGGCACAGGGTACCTGGAACCTTCTGTACTGGTGAAACAATAAATCCAAATTACAGAAATTATTTACGAGTCATGTCATTACTATTTGTAATTGTTTTTTCAAAATAAAATGTAAACCAATACATGAAAGTAAATAAATGAGAAACGGTAGGTAACCACCCCGCCCTTCCTTTCCTGTTTAGCGACAGCCCGGGTGCTGTTCATGAGGTGGAGAAGTGGCTTCCCCGGCTGCATGCCCTTGTCGTGGGACCTGGCTTAGGTAGAGATGATGCGCTTCTCAAAAATGTCAAGGTAACGTGTAACTCTCTCACTTCCCTCACGACGGGCTTGGCCCTTAGTATGGTGAGGGTGGAACAGAGGCATTTCTCTGCATTTTGTGTAGTGTTCTGTGTGCCTCTTCATGGCGTGACTGAGATGAGATTTGAGGGCCGGGGGGGAAACTGAGCGCAGAGGTGGTGAGGAACAGTGCTGAGGTCTGCTTCCCTCTGCCCAACTGTTTCTCATGGAGCAGCTGCCGGTGTGTGTGGAGTTGCTGAGATGTTTCATGTTTGATGTGAGGAGAGGGTGAGCAGGACTCAAGAGTTGACAGAGGTTTGGGGTCAGGCCTAGGTGTGCATCCCATGCACCCCCTTCTTGCTGGGGGACCCTGCAGTTCCCTCAGCTGTCTGGGCAGCTGTTCCCACACAGCCCTGGCACCATGCTCTGCTGACATCAGGCTGTGCGGTGACACAGGCCTGCCTGTCCACACCCACACGCATGCACATGGACACTCATTCATGCTGGTTTTTCATTCTTAACGTTCATCTTATGCCCACCTGAGTCCAGAAAGATGGAAATTGTTTATTCTGATGACTTTGTGTCTGCTGTAAATAAGTACCACCTGGGATCAGGGCAATAACAAGATGGGGATGGCTGCTAGTTCTGTGTTCTCTGCGTCCCCTGATTCTTGCTGGGCTCCTGTATGTCTCTGCTGGGGTTGTGCTCCTAGGGCGTTGCATTCCAGGGACTGCTTTCTGAGACCCTTTCTCGAGTTGCTGGGGACCCCTGTCAGAGCTCCTGGGGGAAGACACAGTGCCAGACGGCCTCGTGCCACAGTGTGTTCACATGTGTAAGGCGTGGTGACTGCAGGTGGATCAGAGGCCGGACGTTAAGTGAGGGACTCTGCTGGAAGCCCTTAGAAGGTGCCTGGCCATGCTGTGTTCCCAGACCAGCAGTCACCCTCAAAATGTCAGCCATTTGCATGACACTCTGTTGAGTGCTTAGTTAACAGAGGGGTTTCTGAGGCTGCGAGGGCTTGAAGGTGGTGAGCAACGAAGCCAACAGTGCAGGGTGAGTCACCTGAAGGGCAGGCAGATGCAGGCCAACACCGTACACACCAGGGCAAGCAGCATGGAGTTAGCATGGAAGCCCATCTTTGAGCTTTAGGGTCTTACCCGCTCACCGAGAAATAGGAGGTGGCCATGCTTAGGAGCAATAGAACCCTCTATCATCCCGGGGAGAGGCTCTCAGTGGGGGTCCCATCTGCAAGCGCTGGGTCTGCTGGCACAGCTGCTGCTTCCTGTCCAGCTCTACATCCTAGGCGTGTGGATGAATTAAAGGTGAACAAGCCAGAGTTCTCTGCTTCAGGTTCTTGTCTTTGTGAATTTAAGTTCATTATTTAAAAATTGGTATCTTCAAAAACCACTTTGCAGCGTGGAAGTGTGAAAGGTGGGAAGTGAGGGTGTGCCTCGCTGCCCTTGCAGCCCAGACTCGGGACCTCGCATTGTGGTTCCTGTATGCGCTCGGCGTGGTCTTGAGAGTCCTCGGGTCATCGAGCACGGGCTGCCTCCTAGTTAGCTTCCAGCTCGTGCCTGGCGCAGAGCAGAGGCTTCCTGCTCCATCGACATTCCTGAATGAGGTCATCATCCGGTGTAGGCCTGAAAACAACCCGATTAGGTAGATTTCTATTCATATCCTCATTCTTCTGATGACCACTTGAGTCCTGGCAAGGATTCAAGACACCCAAGGGGTCTTGTAGCAAGGAAATGGTAGAGATGGTTTTTTAAAAACAACTTTATTTAGATGATGTACCTACCATACACTTCGCCATTTAAAGTGAACTACTCAGTGGCTCCAGGTGTATTCACAAATGTGCAGCCATCACCGTGATCAACCTTAGAACATGTTTACTGCCGTAAGAAGCCCATCCCGTTAGCATCTGCTCCCTGTCTCCCCAGTCTCCGGCAGCCACTCGGCTAGTATACTCTGTCTCAATGGATTCGCCTGTTCAGGACATTTCACATTAATGGAATTACACTATATGTGCTATTTAGTGACTTGTTTTGTTCACGATGCTTTTTTTGAGACACAGTCTTGCTTTGTTGCCAGCCTGGAGTGTAGTGACATGATCTCAACTCACTGCAACCTCTGCCTCCAGGGTTCAAGTGATTCCTGTGCCTCAGCCTCTGGAGTAGCTGGGACTACAGGCATGTGCCACCATGCTGGGCTAATTTTTTTTTTTTTTTTGTATTTTAGTAGAGACGGGGTTTCACCATGTTGGTCAGAATGCAGAATGGTCTTGAACTTCTGACTTCATGATCTGCCTGCCTCAGCCTCCCAGAGTGCTGGGATTACAGGTGTGAGCCACTGTGCCTGGACAACTCTGCCTAATTTTATATTAGTTATTATATGTTGTAGCATGTATCAGCACTTCATTCCTTTTTATATCTAATATTTCATTGTATGGATATACCACCTTTGGTTTATCTGTTCCCTAATTTATGGAGAATTGTTTTGATTCCACCTTTTGTGTGGATGTGTTTTCACTCCTCTTGGGCGTCAGTGTTTCACCTTCTGAGGCACTGCCACTGTTTCCCATAGCAGCTGCGCTATTTTTATTACGGGAACCACAATGCGAGGTCCCGACTCTGAGCCGCAGGGGCAGCGAGGCACACCCTCACTTCCCACCTTTCACATTTCCATGCTGCAGAGTGGTTTTTGAAGATTCCCACCAGCAGCGTGCCCGGTCTCTGATTCTTCACGTCATCCCCAGCACTACTGTTACTGCCCTTGTCTACTTAGTAGCCCCCCTAGTGGGCGTGGAGTGGCCTCATTGTGCTTTGGTTTGCATTTTCCTGGCAGCTGGTGCTGTTCAGCATCTTTGCATTTGCTCACGGGCTGTTTGGGTACTTTTTTATTTTTTGAGACAGATTCTCGTTCTTGCCCAGTCGCAGTGGCATGATCACGGCTCACTGCAAACTCCACCTTCTGGGTTCAAGTGATTCCTTTGCCTCAGCCTCCCAAGTAGCTTGGACTACAGGTACCCACCATCACACCCAGCTAATTTTTGTTATTTTTGGTAGAGATGGGGTTTCACCAGGTTGGCCAGGCTGGTCTTGAACTCCTGACCTCAAGTGATCCACCCGCCTCAGCCTCCCAAAGTGCTGGGACTACAGGCGTGAGCCACTGTGCCTGGCCTGTTTGGGTATCTTCTTTGGAGAAGTTTCTATTCATGCCCATTCCCCATTTTGAAAATCGTTTGCCTTTTTCTTATTGACTTTTAGGAGTTCTTCACATACTTTCTTATCAGAGAGATGATTTGCAGCTGTCCTCTCATTCTGTAGGTTGTCTTTTCACTTCCTTGATGGTTTTGTTTACAGCACAAATTTTTAATTTTGAAGTCCAATTTAGCTATTTTTTCTTTTGTCCCTTGTGCTATTGGTGTCTTATCTAAGAAGCTGTTGCCTAACCTAAGTTTACGCCTACATTTTCTTTTAAGAGCCTTGCCGTTTCAGCTCTTGTATTTAGCTCTGCGCACATGCTGAGCTGGTGTTTGTGTGTGGTGGAAGGCAGGCGTCCGTGTCATTCTTTTGCTTGTGGGGTCCGGATGCAGCACCACGTGTTGGAGAGACTCTTCTTTCCTCCTGATTTGTCTTTCATCCTCCTTGAGAGTCCATTGACCCTAAATGTGAGGCTTCTTCTGGACTCTTGTTTCTGTTATCTGTACAGCTTTCCTTCTGCAACTATCCAGTCCTGATTGCTGTGGCTGGGTAGGAAGCCTTGACGGCAGAAAGCCTAAGCTCTCCAGATTTGTCCTTTTCAAGGTTGGTATGGCTCTCCTGGGTCCCATGCATTCCAGTTTTGGATCAGCTTGCTGATTTGCAGAATAGGCAGCTGGGATCTTGGTAGGGATGGTGTTAACTGAAGATCAACTGGGGGAGTGTCTCACATCATCTGGCTTTGAACCCAAGTTGTCTGAATTGAGAACGCAGGCTCTTGACCAGTGCACCTGCCTCACTGTGCTCTTCTCACAGCTCATTATCAGTGTGTCCTGGGGACTTTTTCATGGTAGGATATGCGGATATTCCTCATTATTTGTAACAGTGACATCAGAATTTACTATGGATATACTACAGTGTATTTAACTAGTTCATTTACTGTTTCCAGCTTTTTTTGTGTTCCATCAGTGGTGTCCTGAATCTGTATTTTGTCACTCTTTTGGGCATTTTCTAAGATAAATTATTAGAGGTTCCATTGCTGAATCAGAGAGTGAGGACGTTTAAATTTTTGAGAGATGCCGCCAGATTTCTCCCTTAGTGTCCTACAGTTTGCTTTCCCATGGGTGGGGACAGCCTTCTGTGCTGGGTGCTCTGATGCTGCGAATCTTTCTAGGCGACCCGTGTCACATTGCATTTTCCAGGTCTGAATATTCCTGTTTGACTACTATTTGTAAATACATTAAAACACAGAAACAAATGAAATATCAGATTATTGCCAAATACTGCAACATGAAATCAGAAACTGATCTAAAATCTGAATTAGCGAAAGCCTGACAGTTTTAACAGTAAAATCAAACTCAGGGCAAAAGCAGACAGAATCTTTTTGGTTAATAAAGGAAATCAGCTTCCATGAAGTCTCAGGTACCTGCTTCCCTGGAAGGGGCTATGGGACAGACACACTGCTAATGCTTGTACCAGCGTCAGAGCAAAACAGACTTCCCCACAGCTGGGATACATGTCACCAAACAAGCTGAAATGAGCAGTTTGTTAGGCAGGCAGCTAATGCTTTGTCAGCTTTCAAATTTCATTTAACTTTTAATATATATGACTTTAGTTTTCGGTCCTTTATTCTCACTTAGCATGTCCTTTAATGTTTTTTAGTAGGTGTCTATCAAGTCAAGTTTGCATGCTACTGCAGTAAATAATCTTGTCACAGTGTATCAGATCATAAGAATAAAAATAACCAATGTTGATTACATGTATGTGTATGTATCTCTGTACATGTAGTATTTTTGTTTTTGTTTTTGTTTTTGAGACAGTCTTGCTCTTTCGCCCAGGCTGGAGTATAGTGGCACAATCTGAGCTCATTGCAACCTCCACCTCCTGGGTTCAAGCGATTCTTCTACCTCAGCCTCCTGAGTAGCTGGGATTACAGGCGTGTGCCACCACCCCTTGCTAATTTTTGTATTTTTAGTAGAGACAGGGTTTCATCATGTTGGCCAGGCTGGTCTCGAACTCCTGATTTCGTGATCCACCCGCCTCAACTTCCCAAAGTGCTGAGATCACAGGCGTGAGCCACCACACCCAGCCACATGTAGTATTTTTTAAATAGAAAACCTTTGAAACTTTCACTATAATCCTATCAGGGAAAAATGATTCCCTGTTTATTGTCACAAGTGACAATATACTTACTTATATTTACTTTAAAATATCTAAGTAAAGTGATATGAAAAATACATAATGACTAGTGATTTGGGGAACTCGAAAGAATTCTCTGAATGCTGCAGATTAGTATCTGCTGGAGAACCGGAAGCCCTCGGTGGGGCGCTGGGTGTGTCTTCATGGGTTAGCCCAGGAGCCCAGCGTTGTTTATAGCGTTTCCACTGGGCTTCACCTTTCAGAGTTCCCAGTGTCCTGTCTTACTAAGGGGCTCTGCCAGTTCATTGGGTCTTGCTTCTCTATTTATTCATTTACTTTATTGTTTTCCATTTATTGTGTGATGACTTGATGTTGCATTTTATTAAGAGTCTGCTCAATTTTCTTTCACTGCTCTTGGGAAGTCCATTTTGTACTGCTCTAGCAGTCCCACAGACTGGGTCATTTATAATGAACAGGCGTTTCCCGCCTCACAGTTCTGGAGGTAGATGACCAACATCAACGTGCCGGCATCTGGTGAAGGAGGAAGGGCAGGAAAGTGACCCTTAATGCCCTTTTTAAAGGTCATTAAACCCATCCATGAGGGCTCTGCCACATCACCTTTTAAAGGCCCCACTTCCCAGTGCCCAGTTAAGTTTCACCGTGAGTTTTGAGAAGACACGCGTCCACGCCATAGGCAGAGGCAGCAGGTGTGGTGCTCAGCCTAGTTTTCTCTTCTGGCAGGGCATTTTGGAAGCATCAAAGGCCAGGGACATCCCTGTGGTCATCGACGCGGTGAGTTGACCTCTCTCCTCCTGGCTCGGGGTCCTGGAAGGCCTGCCCAGTGAGCCTGGCTTTTTGTTCCATGTAGGATGGCCTGTGGCTGGTCGCTCAGCAGCCAGCCCTCATCCAGGGCTACCGGAAGGCCGTGCTCACTCCCAACCACATGGAGTTCAGCAGACTGTACGACGCTGTGGTGAGTGAGTGGACCCCCAAAGGGTGGACACGAGCCCCATTTGTCCCAAAGAGGGTGAGGGGCGAGCTCCATGCTTCTGCCCAGCCTGTCCCTGTGGGCACATCTCCCCAGGGACAAAGACCTGCAGGTCACCACTGTGCCTCTCACAGCAGATGGCGCGTCTTCCCATCGTGCTCTTCGATTGGATGAACGATGGGGTGGTGGACTTGGGACAGGCAGGGACTTGGGTCAGCCAGCCCCCTCCTGCAGTGCACTCTGGACAGATCACTTCGTCTGTGTCCTGAGCGCCTCGTCTGTAATGTGATGATGGCATCTGCCTCACGGGGCTGTGAGATAAGGAAACCTGTGTAAAGCCATGAGTCCCCACATGGTAAGTGTCCCATCAATGTTAGCACCCAGTGCTGTGGAATTTGTTTTACTCCTGCAGAGCTCTCAGAACCCAGCCTCGGTGTCCTCCTCCAGCCTGGTCTGACCAGGTAGAGGACGGGCGCTGGCAGGCACTGCGTCGGTGTCTGCTTGGAGTTGCTGCAGGTGATATCCTGGGCTTCCTCCCACCTACGCGGCCTCTAACCGGTGCCTGGGTGATCCTTTTAGACGTGAGAGTGCGAGTCTCATGGCAGATGGGACAGGGCTATCCATCATGTCACATGTCTTGTGTCTGAGGAAGGCTTTGCTTTTTCTGTGTCTTCCTGCGTTGCCGTAGTTGAGAGGCCCCGTGGACAGTGATGACCGCCATGGATCTCTGCTGAGACTCAGCCAAGCCCTGGGCAACGTGACGGTGGTCCAGAAAGGAGAGCGCGACATCCTCTCTGATGGCCAGCAGGGTGAGCGGCGGCTGGCCTGTGTGGGCTGGTGCTGGGTCAGGCAGCGGGACCACACTGAGTGTGAGCCCCAGAAGACCTCTGGTGTGCACACACTGTTCACATGCATTCCGCACAAGGGGATTCCCGATGAGCTCGACAAACACATCTTCTCCAGAGTCCATGATTTTGACTTCTCACTGTTTTGCTGGGGAGGTGACAGTGGTGAGAGCAGGCTTTCAAGTTGTGGGCTCTACCCTTTGGCTGAATTGCTGTGCCTTAGTTATGAGAAGCAGCCTGGCAGGCGGGTGCCTGGAACAGCAGGGCACGCTGCAGAGTCCTGGGTTCGCGTCCCCAAGCTGCCACCGTCCTCTTTCATCTCACTTGTGGCATCCACGATCCATGTGGTTATTTGGGTATTTTGTTGCATTTCGTTCTATCAAAATGACTGGACAGTGCAGAAAGCCCCGCACACTCTCGCACACATCCACACGCCCTTGCACACTCATCCACACCCTCACACACTCATCCACACCCTCATCCACACGCCCTCGCGCTCATCTACACACCTTCTCATCCACTGCCTGACACGTTCATCCACTGACCCTCATCCACTCCCTTGCACACTCGTCCACACGCCCTTGCACTCATCCAGATGCCTACTCATCCACACACCCTCACACTCATCCAAACGCTCACACTCATCCACGCCCTCACTCATCTAGTCCCTGGCACTCATCCACTCTCTCACACACTCATACACTCCCTCGCACTTATCCACACACCCTCACTGATCCACACACCCTCGCAGTCACATCCATGCGCCCTTGCACACTCACCCACACATAGCTGGGCACAGGGACCACAGAGCTCATGTTCTCAGAGGGGCTCTTGGCACCTTTGAGATGAGGGTTTTTAGTCACTAGAAGGCTGTCTTGGGTCTAACACATTCAGAGAATATAACACCTGGTTTTAACATTTTCCAAAGAAAGGGAATTCCCACATTCACAGGCACACATAAAGTTAGGAGGGGGTGGAGGCCTCGCTCAGTTGTCCCATGTGGTTGGGCTGGGGTTTAAGGTGAACTCTGCAGTGTGGGCTGCAGGCGAGGGCTCATCCTCTGGGAGCTGGTGGGAGGAGCTGGACACCGGTTCCAAGCTGCGGGTGTCTCCACCAACCTGCCATGCTTGCTACACAGCGAGGCCTGGGGCAGCCTCATTGCTTTGTGCCTCAGTTTCCTTTTCTGTAGAACAGAGGTGCCTCCAGCCCTTGGGAGGAACAAACTGGGAAGAGCCATAGGGGCAGGATGTGAGTGGAGCCTCGGGCACTCCTGGAGGGTGTGGCCCTGGCTGCGCTGCGTGCATCCTTCCACACGGGCGGCCACTGTCACCTTCACACATGCCGTGCTGACACCTGCTCTCTCCCCCTGCAGTGCTTGTGTGCAGCCAGGAAGGCAGCAGCCGCAGGTGTGGAGGGCAAGGAGACCTCCTGTCCGGCTCCCTGGGCGTCCTGGTGCACTGGGCGCTCCTTGCTGGACCTGAGAAAACAAATGGGTAAGGCCACACGTCTTCATTTATTCTACTCTGAAACTGATTTTTCTGAGCTATCTTAGTAGCTCATGTGTTGAATTAGCAGCCCTGGAAACACTGAGAATGAACTCTGGGCTTCACTGGAGAGATCCCAGGGCACAGGTAAACCCTCTCGGCAGAAGCTCCCACTCCACACTCGGGCCTGGGGCAGGGGCGGTCTTCAGAGCTTTCCAACGAGTTTGGAGGTGCACGGCTATTGTGGGGAGTTGAGTGGTTTGCTCTCTGTAACACAGATACTAAGAAAACAGGGTCAAGGCTTACTTAGATACTTGTTCTTAAAGATGGGAATTTTCTTTTTTTTTTTGAGACGGAGTTTCGCTCTTGTTACCCAGGCTGGAGTGCAATGGCGCGATCTCGGCTCACCGCAACCTCCGCCTCCTGGGTTCAGGCAATTCTCCTGCCCCAGCCTCCTGAGTCGCTGGGATTACAGGCACACGCCACCATGCCCAGCTAATTTTTTTTTGTATTTTTAGTAGAGACGGGGTTTCAACATGTTGACCAGGGTGGTCTCGATCTCTTGACCTCGTGATCCACCCGCCTCGGCCTCCCACAGTGCTGGGATTACAGGCTTTAGCCACCGTGCCCGGCCGAAGATGGGAATTTTTTTTAAGAGACAGCAGAATTCTAGGACCAGGGCTCGTGGCCCAGTTCTGCAGTCAGAACTCTGTGAATGTAGGCAGTTCTCATATCTCTGAGCACTTCCGTTTCTCTTCTGTGAGCCCGTCATGGTGACAGTGGCATGTGCTAGGTGTGGCAGGCAGGGCAGGCAGGCCTTCATCCGGTGGCCTCAGCTGCCCTCATTGCTGGGATGGGGAACTCTGGGGCCATCCCCCAAACTGTGTGTGTCCACATGAATTTGAAAGCCGAGGAGGTAGAGGCGTGGGCAGGAGTCTTACCGGTAATTCTGCTGGGTTCACTCTAGTTCCCCCACGCCCCTCTCCCAGGAGATGCAGCCTTGGAAGCAGGAATCCACATTCTCATACCTCAGCTGCCCTTCACCCCTGGGCACTGAGAGCAGTTACACAGGGATCCGCAGCGCGTGCCACCTGGCTTGGCCCTGACACCTGCCTGCTGCATGCCCTGGCCCGTCTCCGAATGCTGGATGTTTCCCGTGTGCCTCCTTTCAGAGAATAGCGGAGGGTTCATGGTGGTTTGCGCTGTGATAAAGCTGCTTTCTCCTCAGAGGCATATCACACTTGAAATTGACAATCTGGGGTCCCAAGATTGAAATGAGAGTCAAAGCCAGAGCCCAGGGTAGCTGCAGCCCCTGGACTGTGATGCCCACTTCCCACACCCCCTGCTGTCGCCCCCCCAACAGGTCCAGCCCTCTCCTGGTGGCTGCATTCGGCGCCTGCTCCCTCACCAGGCAGTGTAACCACCAAGCCTTCCAGAAGCACGGTCGCTCCACCACCACCTCTGACATGATCGCCGAGGTGGGGACCGCCTTCAGCAAGCTCTTTGAAACCTGAGCCCACGCAGACCAGAAGGAAACAGGCACCTTGGATGGGGGAGAGCGTGTGTGACAAAATCAGACTCGTGTGTGCTGAAGGCGCATGGCGCGTGCCAGGTTTTCACCAGCATAAACTGGTGGTTGTTGAGAATTTAAGAATTTGGAATATTGCAGTTTTTGGCTAAACTGGATGCATGGTCGGAGATGTTATGGTGACACTAACCAAAGCATTCCTGAACTTTCCTTAGCTCCTTGGTAGTAACTGAGAAGACAGAAATGAAGAAAGTCACGTGAGAATGAAGCTCTTTTAGCAGCGCAACTGAATTTCTCGGCCTCCTCCAAAATCGGCAGTTTCTACATGTTGTTCTCTCTGCCCATGCACTTCACTTTTCCCCGCTGCCCTTTCCTAGCGTTTCCTCCAGCAGGGAGCAGGCACTGGTCCCCACGAGTCTCCCTGAGGGCCAACTACACTGATGTGTTTCCTCTGACTGGGTCCATCGGGGACTGCTTCGTTGTCCAGCTCATCTTGTTTTGAAGTGGTGACTAGCTTGGTGCTATCGGGCTGCTGGTATTGCTTGGCTTATTGACACACTCCAGGGTAATCAGTGATCACTTTGTTTGGAAATCCTCTTGGAGGCACCATGGGAACAAGGAAACATGAGTGATGGTGACCCTTGAGTAGGTGGGCGGGGAGCTCTGGGATGCCTCCTGTCCCACGCTCTCTGGGGTCCCTGTCCTCAGAAGTCCCATGTTGCCCAACCAGCCCCAGCAGGGCAGACCTGACCAGGGGTGGGCGCAGTGGAGGGCTGCAGTCTGGAGTCTGCCGTGGCCTCCAGTGCTGTCTCAGGAAAAGGTTCTGAGGACTTGGGGCCTGCTGGGCGTGGTGCAGCGATGACATTAAGGAGGCCCAGGGAAGAGTGTCCTGATGGTGTGTGCTTAGGACTCAGCGCAGCTGCGTCCTCAGGGATGTTCACATCCGGCAAAGATGCTGGTAACCGCAGCTTCAGCAAACGCTTCCTGTTGACCTTGGGTGAAATTCTGCTGTCTGTGTGGTTTTCCTGGAGTGGCCTGACGTTTACTTATTCTCTAGTTCCATGTCTCAGTGGGGCTTGGTACAGTTTCGTGTCTGACGTGAATTCTTTATATATATATATAGAGAGAATTCTTTATACTTTCATTAACACCGTTCCACAGCAAGGGCCAAACCTCCTGGTTCCCTTCAGTCTTTTCAGCCTGATGCCTCTTGGGTGATGCCCTGTGGTGCAGACACGCCCCAGATGGTTCTATTCTACTTTCTTCAAACAAAGATTGTTACTATTAATTTCACACCTAACTTCAGAAGCTTCCCTGTCTACATGTGAATCTTTGCAGAAAAAGAGTACCGTGGACATCTTTCCTTTGGGGAATTACATCTAAATTCTGGCAGCTATTAAAAGACAGATCTGGTTAATTTACATCTAGTGTGGTATTTTTTTCCTTAAACAGCTAAAGATCACCTTTCAGCTTTCTTAGGTGAGGAAATTGTGAGATGCCAGGGAGATAAAAATATATCAGCCTGTGTATGATACTCCCTCACCACCGGCGCCCGCCTCCCATGACGGCTGCACTAAAGAACCGTGAGGGGTAAGCCTAAGGCGGCCCCTTCGTTCCTTGGGACACACAATTCAGCAGTCACAGGAACTCTCTCATGGTTTTGGTTACTAAGTTTTTGTTCTAAGTAAAACATCCCTTTGCTTAAAGGAGAGAATGGTTTTTTTTTTTTTTTTATGATCAGCTCCTTGCTTCCCTGTTCTTAAGCCCTTGTATCTTACACACTTGCTCCAGACACTCCCAGGAGCTTTCCTGACCAGGAGAGCAACGGGAAGTGTGTGGGGGCCGGTGAGGCAGTGGCCTGGCAAGGCAGTCTGCCCCAGGACTGAGCGGCCCTGTTGAGATACCTCATTGTAAGGAGCTCTCTGGGGCCTTTTTGTATGTGGGTAGCTTTCCTAGGGTGATTTTCTAGGTGAGTGACTTCGGAACTGGCATTCGTACCTGCAGACAGGAGCCCTGCCTCGGCCACGGTTCAATGATGAGCAGGGTGGTACCCCCAATCACGGGTCCTGCTGCTGCCTCTGCCCGTGGGATTCAGAGATGCCCGTACGGCAGTAAGGGAGAGGCCTGGCCCAGGCTCTGCGAGCAGGAAGAGTGGAGCGGGTCACCCTGCTGGGTCACCGACAGCTGTGGCGCTGGCTTACTACAGAAAGGTGAGATCAGGAGGGGCAAGGTGGATGTTTCAGAAGGCCCCACTCCTGCAGCCCCGGCAGCCCGTGTGCACTGGCTACCGCTTTCCGGTCAGGAATCCTGTCTTGTCACGCCTCGCCAGCTGGCTTTCAGCTGACTGCCCTGATGCCTCTGACCTCACCTCTCCAAGGCCCAGCCGCCACCCCATCACTGCTCTGCTTAGACCAGGCACGCCAAGATGCCCTGCAGCTGTCAGGATGTTAAAAGCGGCGGGACTGTGGACAGTTCTTGGCTGCGTATTTTCTATCGCAAAGACATTACTTTTATAACCAGAGTAAGATTGTATTCTTGCTGGGGAATTAGCGTCCCAGGGTTTACATTGCCTGGAGTCCCCCCTCTGCTTCAGACTGTGCTGCTGCGTGGCCCGTCCGCCTCACCCATCCCAGCCGCTGCTCTTCTGTTCCTGTGTTGTCTGCTCCCTGGGCACGGCCCGGTGGGTCTCACCCACAGGCACACGTGCTGCTGGGCGCCACTCAATGTCTGACACGACTTCACTACATCGATGGTGACTGTAGCCACGACCCCAGAAGGCAATGAATGTTTAGGCGCAGTTACTAACAGATGCCAGTGGAACACTGTGGGTTGCCTTACTTTAATGCTGACCTAGCAGCCTCGACAGGAAGCTTTAACGTAAAGCTTTGTCCATAAGGAAGCACAGGTGCGTCGTGTGTCACGAGCAGGCTCATGGCTGTGCTCCATCCTCAGCCCCTAAAGGATTTTTGGTCCTTTGTCCTTTGATCCAGCAGTTCCCATGTGGATGTTGTACGGCTTCTGTCCTGTAGAAGAGAGGCCCACCTCTGAGCAGATACCATGTCACGTGGCACAGGGGGCTAACAGGCGTGATCAGGTTCAGGGTGCCTGTTCCCTCACTGACCTGTCCCAAAAAGCCTGCAGGGCGCTTAGAATGGGCCCCACTGACTCCAGCAGAAGGCCAGGGGCTGGGCAGCACCTACGGGAGGTGTGGGGGGCTAAGCGGGACCCACGGCCCCATGCTAAGTGTCCCCTCCAGCCGACTTGGCCCCCACCCCGCAGCCCTCCCATCTCACTTTTCATTGGGTAGGTTTCTCTACTCAGAAAGTAGCGTGGTTATGGGGGATGTCTGGGCCTCTGGTGGCCCCACATCTGTGTGACACCTACGGACCTACCCAGCCACCGGGGTGATGTCCTTGACCTGGGTGCAGCACTCACCTTGATGTTGATGCCGTGGGCAGTCAGGCCCCGGCGCAGGGTGTCACATGCCTCCAGGAGGGGCTGCCTCTCCAGGTGCTGCTGCCGCTGGGCCTCCCCAGTAGCCTCGGGCGTGGCCAGAGCAAACTGCCGGACCTGCTGCCGGAACCGCACCAGCTCGTCCACCACGCCCCGCAGGGTGGCCTCGCTGCCATCTCCTGAAACACACTGGACCCGCAGGACACGGTTACACCCCCTGGAGACCATGGCGCCCCAGGTGGTTGGGCTCTGGGCCGAGACACACCCAGCCCTGGCCTTCCCTGATTCCCTAAAGCTGGGCCTCTTTCTGGGACTGGCAGGGATGGGGGCGGCCCCTGAGTGCTGGGCTCTGGGCAAGTCTCCACTCTCAACCCTGAGCATCTGTCATCCAGGCAAGACTCCTGCTCTTTGGCGGTTAGAAGGACTGGGCAGTGCACACCACCCCACCCTGCACACAAGCGCTCCCTGGGTTCCAGACCCCACACAAGTGTGGCCGAGGCGTCCGGAACAACCTGAGGTGGCTGGGGGTCAGCGACGTGCTTGCACACGAGTCTCAGCAAACGGCCTGAGATTCCCAGCCTCAGGTGCTGAGGAAGGGATTTGGGCAGAAGGCCTCTGCGCTGTCCTCCTGCTGAGAACAGCTCCTGGGGCAGTGTGGAAGGGGGCTGCTGTACCTGTTTGTTACATTCATGCGTGTAAAATAAACAGACCCACAACCTTTTACTTTGGTGTCAAACTACTTAAACCTCATATACTCCTCAGTTACCGCTTCCACGATAAAACAGTTTTTGTTATCACAAAAATATGAGCCCAGAGTGGGCCCAGACCTTAGCCCTTGTGGCTGGAGGAAGGTGAGCGACAGGTTTTTGACAAGGGATAGGCAGAGCTTGGCCAGATCCCACTTTTCTTACTCAGTAGACTCTGGAAAGCCTCTCCTGAACACGAACACGTGCTCTGCAAAACCTTGGTCATCTCACACCAGTAGACTTTCCCATGATTGGCAACAGACGCCGGACGACTGCTAGGAAGGGGAACTGAGTCTACCAAGTGATCAGCAGGTTTACAAATGAACCACACTTGGGACAGGCACCATAGGTCTCTGATGAGAGCCAGAGAGACGTGTCCGGCCTGGAGCCAGGCCTCCACCACACCTGCTCAGGCTGCAGTCCCAAGCGGCGGGCACCTTGGGGTGCTGGGCAGCTGGTCTGGAGTGGCAGCCCCTGTCCAGGCAGCTGCAGCCAAGCCACACTCCAGAGAGCCAGAGCACCTTGTGCTGAGAATTCTACATTCTACAAGGGCGTCCAGAAAACAACAGAGACGTTCTGGGACACAGCGCGAGCTCCAAAATCCCCACTGTCAGCCATACACTCCTAACAAGTGACGGTGGGGGACTTTCAGATACAGATACTCCAATCTGTATCGATACAGTAAACAGGTTCCACGCCAGCCTTGTTAGGAAGGGGAGATTTCCGTTGGATCCAAGTCTCTGCAAAAATGCTCCTCAGTTCAAGGGAAGAGGAGGAACGTGGAGAAACCTGGCAGTGTCCACCTTGTGACACAGCCAGCGAGGGTGAGCGTCTCCGGGAAGGCACAAGGTCGACTTGTGCCTATGAGGGACCCTGTCCTGTCCTAGGATCATGCGCCAGGCAAGGGGGCTCAGGTCGGCAACTTGCCCTCAAATGGGCCAGGAAAAAATGTTCTCTTACTGTGCACGTGACTTCTGCACATTCTGAGTTTCAACATAATCAAGCCTGTGCAGAGCTGGCAACACTGCTGCTGAGATGGACCCATCTCTGGTTTTGCACACAAGAGTCTGCCAACAGCAGAAGCGGATTGCCTAATTCCAGTTAGTAAGTATTGGCTCTGAGTGTGTTCCAGGAAAGTAACATTTTTAAGCAGGTAAATAAATGAGTTTGGCATCATAATGAACTATTCCACGTTAAAAAGGTAACGGTTATTGTTCCAACATGGAGATAATTCCAGAATTAAGCATTTAAAATAATAGGACCTACCTGTTGATTTGCCAGAGAAATTCCAACAGTTTCAAAAAACTGTTCAAAGTAAGAGATGATGGCACCAAACACAGCAGGACTTCGCGGACCCCCAGGTTCCTGTAAGAAGCCACACCATGGAAGCTCCTTAGAAGCAGTCTTGGCCGGGCATGCTGGCTCACGCCTGTAATCTCAGCACTTTGGGAGGCTAAGGTGGGCGGACCACAAGGCCAGGAGATTGAGACCATCCTAGCTAACACAGTGAAACCCCATCTCTACTCAAAATTAAAAAATTAGCCAGGCATGGTAGTCTGTAGTCCCAGCTACTCAGGAAGCTGAGGCAGGAGAATCACTTGAACCCAGGAGGCAGAGGCAGGGGTTGCGGTGAGCCGAGATCATGCCACTGCACTCCAGCCTGGGTGACAGAGTGAGACTTTTTGTCTCAAAAAAAAACCAAAAAAAACAGTCTTGATGGCAGTGGGCGAAGGGAATTCAGTGTCAACAAAGATTACAGCAGCTCCCTTCAGTCTGGCCTTCCTCCTGGCTTCCATGGAGGAAGAACACAGCTCTGGCTACCTCACTGCAGATCACCCAACTGCAGGCGCATCAGGAATCTCTTGTGCCTCAGTTTACCCATCAGTAATGTGGATGGACAGAGGTACTAGCTCATCAGGCTTTGTGGGTGAACCGTGATCATGGGCCATGGCATGCAGTGCGAGGCAGGCGGAGGCTGAGTGGGCACTGGGCTCGATTTCTCAGAAAACAAGGCAGTCCTGGCACGTGGCTCATGTAAGCTGCCAAATAAGACCCCTGTGTGACACTAGCCCTAGTTTGCAGGTGCCCCAGAAGGAAAAGCGCAGGCGCCAGCCTCTTGTCCCCAGTCCCTTGCCATAAGAGGCCCCTACTGGCCACGAGCTGGGCCGGCCTGGGGGTGCTGGTAGCAGCTGCGGTGAAGGCAGGAGGTGGAGGGAGAGCCACACGGAGGCCACGGACGGGCAGAGGAGAAGCTCCCGTGCTGGAGCAACCTGGCCAGTGGACCTGTCCCAGCCCAGCCTGGCTGCCTTGCACTGAAGGCCGTGACTCAAGTACCCGCTCCCCTCAGAGGTGAGCCCTACGCCGCTGCAGTATTTGGACCAAAGGCACCCGGCACAGCACAGGGCACCCTGCCCCACCAGGGTCACAAGGGAATCCATGCTCTGAAACCCAGCACTGCACGCGGCCAGGGATGGAGACCTCCAGAGAGATGCTCAGCCAACAGAGGAAGCGGCCAGGACCCACAGGCGTTTCCAGAGACGTGAGAGGCACGAACAGCCTCGGCTTCTCGGGTCGTGAAAAGTCACAGGGCTGCTGACGGAGCTCCTTGCAGGGCCTGGCAGGGAGACCCTCAGAAGTGCAGGAACCAAACCCTGCTGCCGCCTCCACGGTCTTTGTCCCACCCCCCAAATGCTTTCAGTGACCCACGGGTTCAGGCTTAGACCCCCAGGGGCTTGGTGTGGTTGTCACCCGGGTGCTGACTGCCTAACAGTGCATTGGGGTAAATGGGTCTTTTCTTAAAAAGTTCTCCACAAAAGCTCTCTGGGAAGTGCCATGAGTGCAGTAGGGACATGAGCTGCATCCCCTGAGGATCAATCACACTGAGAGTATCTCAGCCTCGGGCTCCCGAGAGCTTGTTCTCCAGGTGGCCAAAGGCCTGGAGGGTCAAGCCCCAGGCCGGGCAGGCAGCAGCTGGGCCAAGGCTGGCACCGTCCCCATCCTGCCTGTCTGCAGCAGGTTCCACGAGTTCCCCAACAGGAGCTGTGGGAGGTGCAATCAGCAGAGCCCGCCCATGAGAAAAACCCACCCAATAACCCGACCCATGCCCCTGGCAGCGGGACTTCGAGGCCACCTGCTCGCTGAGCTACCTTCGTTGCCCTGAGCTCTCCGTTCCCATGGTGCGCAAGGCTGAGGAAGGCATCAACCACCCTGGGTGTGTCAAAGTCGTCTGCCAAGGCTGCCCTCACGGCCCTCTTGGTGCTGGAGAGCCTGAGGGAAGAGGAAGAGAGACAGTCCCAGCAGAGGGGGCTCCACCCTCCCCAGGAGGCCCCCACCCCAGTCCTTCCCCAGGGAGAGAAGCTGGGGGCTTTAATTTGGGGACTCTCTTTAATTTAGGTCACATTCCCAAAGACTTGTGAGACTCCTGAGTAGCAGAAACTTAATAACACAACTGCAAACCGTCATGTTACCCCAAGGAGAAGTCCCAGAGCCTCCGTAAACTGTGACACTTGTATTTTAACACGCAAGATACATGTGGGCATTTTCACGATGGTTTTAAAAATCAATAGACTTTGTGGGGAGTTAATATAAAATAGCGCCAGGGAAGGCTCAGTGAGGGAGAGAGAGCACAGCCGACCACTCGGAGAGGTCAGAGGTCGTGGACGCCCGGGCAAGAGCTCCTGCATCCCGGCCTCCCGTGGCCACTGGCTGCCTCCCTGCTGAAGTGGCAGGGCTGCGGCGTCACCAAGACCACCTGGAAAACCGCGTGCAGTGCCACCCAGGACACCCACGGTGGGGGGAGTGGGGGCAAGGCTGTGGCCCAGGCCTGCGTGTTTTGTAGCCTTTGGCTTCTCATGGCCAGGACTGAGAGGGATGAGCAGCTCTGCTCCTTGCACAGGAACGCGAGCCCAAAGCCACTCCAAGCAGGGGGCTCAGAGCCCGAGGGCCCAGGCGCACCTCCCGCCCAGCTCCGTCTCTTGGGGCCTCTCCGAGGAACCCGACCCCACACCTGCACCTCCTGCCCAGCTCCCTGTCTCCTGGGGGCCCCTCTCCCCTTGAGGACACCACTGGCAGCACCCAGCAGAAGGCCGCAGGAGGGGATGCCACACCAGGTGCTAAGTGGGCCTCTTACCTCTCCCATAGCATCACCTCCCTGACAGAGCCACAGGCCAGCTGCCCCTTCATGTAAGCACGTGCATCCTCCAGGAAAGAGCCCAGCCCCAGGAGCAGCTGCTGGGCTTGGAGCATGGCGCTGTCGCTGTAGTCGATGGCTGGGGAGGAAGAGATGGTCACTGAGGCGGTGCCCGCCATGCTGTGCCCCTGCCCCCGCCCTCAGCAGAATCACAGCATTCTCTGAGCGAACTGCCACCCAGGGGGAGAGCAGGACATGCGGCCCTCACTGCTCTCCGGTGACCGTGAGTCCCCAGGCCTACTGGACACAGACCACAGGATCTGTCCCAGCTCAGGGTCACCCGCCCTGGGGAACAAGGTGGCAGTGGAGAAATGCTGCCAGCAGAGAGGCGCATTTCCGTTGGCGGATGGATGGAGGTGCTGATGAACGGCTGGTCTGGGAAGAGGGAGCCCCGCCCTCGGGTCAGAGGCATCCAGACCACCTCTGGGGAAGGCGCCCACAGGGAAGGCGCCCCCGGGAACGGCGCCTGTGTGTGATGGGACAGCCCAAAGGGGGAGGGAGGAGCAGTCCCCAGAGGTGGCTTTAGAGTCTGTGGGTGCTTCTCAGGGCCCTGGGATGAGGAGCCGGTGCTTCTGTTTGCATGCGTTCGGGTAAGACACAACAGGAACGAATCACACATCCCTGGATGTCAGCAGCGCCGGCCACACATTTCTAAAACCTTCTCGTGTCTGTGCCTACTCTGTTCCCAGACTGTGTGAGTCCAAGCCCATGCTTTGAGGAGTGCTGCTTCAAACAGCTCTTTGAAAACCACAAGAACAAAAAGAGCCTATCTGGACACATGCTGAAAATGACATTCCAACATGCCTGAAAGTCCCGATCTCAAAACGAGAATTCCGAAATCAGACATGGCTTCAGGCTGGAAGTAACACGGTGAAAACCGCCCAGGGTGGTCTCATCTCACTTAACATTTTTCCTTTTTTTCCAAATTCACTTTCAGTTTTTGCTTTCAATAGCTTGACAGAAAAGAGAAAAACCCAGAAACCCGCAATGCAAGCTGACAAAATTTAAAACAAAGATCATATTCAGGGACTGACAGAGCTGATGCATGGGAGGTGGTTAATAATAAAATGACCATTAATGACACAGCAAGACCAGGCATCCAGATGGACACCCAGTGTGGAGACGCCCTCCGCCTCAAGGTCAAGGACGGCTGCACTTCCCTAAAGAGGATTCTGCTCCACAGACGGGAGACGCTTCTTCTCCCAAGTGTCTGCACAGCATCAACTGCACGGGAATGCCACCACTGTCACCCTCCATCTCCCACAGGTGAAGAAGGCATGTCTGGGAAGATCCTCAACTTCCACACCACTCACATGAACTTCCACACCGTTCACGTGGACTTCCACACCGTTCACGTGGACTTCCACACCACTCACGTGAACTTCCACACCACTCACGTGAACTTCCACACCATTCATGTGGACTTCCACACCGTTCCACTCATGAGAACTTCCACACCACTCATATGGACTTCCACACCGTTCCACTCATGTGAACTTCCACACCATTCACGGAGGGAAGCTCAGGCAGCAAGTGGCAGCCCAGCTCCTTGTGGCCACCTCCAACCTCGGAGGGCATCGTGTGTGCATGACGCGGGGACCTGGGGACCCATGTACTAACACTGCATTCCTATGTTCCTAGAAATCCTTCCCTGGGGAGCGGTTTCTCCCGAGTCCCACCTGAAATTCCCACTGGGAGTGGTTCCTGAAAGAGCTGTCCAGGCTTGAGAAAGCCTCTTTTCTGACCAAACTTCGTATTTCAAGCTCGAAAGGAACTGCACACAACTAGGATTGTCATGCAAGGCGCTGCCCCTCATCCCTCCACAATCTGTGTGAAGAAGGGGGGCAGGGGCCTCCGAGGGCAAAGAGCCCCGGGAAGAGATCTGTAGAAACAGCTTTGAAAGGACCACAGGCGCCAGCCACGATCAGGAGTTAGCACAAGGCAGGGAGAGGGCTCTGCGCTTGTACCAGCTTCATCCACGCTGCCTCTGTCCGTTTCCAGCAACACGGAGCCAGGCAGAAAGTTTCTCCACCCCATTCACCTCTCAGCTCTTCCGCTCAGGCATGGCTGGGCCGTGTTCATCACGCATAAGTGCACACCACACAGATGCTGCCCAAGGCCAGATGAGCATGAGGCTGGCGACACTTCTGTCTCAGGCTTGAGGGCCAGTGAAGGCACATGGCCAATGCACTGCAGTTCCACCCAGGGGAGAGGTTCAGATCCGTGTCTCAGAAAACCCAAATTTGCAGTAGAAGACCAACAACATGGCGTCAGAGCCAGGATAAAGACATGGCCAAAGGTAGCCTTTCAGAGGTCAAAGGCGCAGGTGTCTGCGTGCCCCACTCAAGCTGACAGAGCTGCAGGCCAGGTGAGATTCAGCAGGCGCAGCACAGGGAGGGAGAGGGATGGGACCAGCCTAGAAACTCACCCAAACCCGCCAACGCTGTGTGTGTGACATAAAGTGTACTGGCCAAATAGAGCCACCGCATGGGGAAAAGAGAATCAAGCATGCTTTGGGGCATGCCCCACCCCTGTCGTCTTCATTAAAAAGGTGAAATGACCATTTTGGAGCAAGAGAGGTGGCTTGACAGCAGCGGGCCAGGGACTCGCAGTGTCAACGGAGCAGGAGGGCACCTGAGGCCAGAAGGACAGCACCCCTGGCTCACCAGCAAGGAACTGCAACGTCTTCAGAGGACATGGCCCTGCTCCTGCAGCACCAGCCAGACACTGGGGCCATACTGCCAGCTAGGTGGTCAAGCCAGGCAGGGCGGTGCCACCATCCCAGCCCTCACTGGCCACCAGGGGTGCAGCTCT